CAGCCCATAAGGTTTCAAAGGTTACAGAGATTTTATAGAGTACAAACTTTATACAAGGCGGGATTGTTTAGAGCGCCTGCAAGATTTGGGGGTTTTCTTTCTCTAGGACTGGCAGGCTTAGTGGCCTTGTCCTTAAGATAATGGGGGGCAGGGAGCATGTCTGCACAGTTGGTGGTGAGCTCCTCCTTTGTTCTTTTGTTTCCCAAGAACAGCTCATGAGCTCTGCACTCTCCAGACTGGGAGTTATCTATATCTTTTTTGCAGAAACTCTTGTTCTTTCTAATTTTTCCTTCTGACCATGAGTTTTGTATCTTTTAGTTATTCATTTTCCCTTACATTGCATTCTGGGAACCCCAAGTACAGCCTGGGGAAAACTGAGAAGGGAGGACAGCCCCCCCCTCCTCACTGCCATCTCGGGTTGGAGGGTTATGGAAGGGAGGAGGGGTCTTCAACCAGGACTTGGTCTGCTACTCCAGCAGGTGAATCCTGAGGGAGCCAGGGACAAGGTCTCCAGCTCCTCCTTGGCCTAGCTTTCCCCCTTCATCCTAGCCACAGTCCATGGCCTCGGACTCCATCTGCAAGTGTGTTTGCAGCAGCTGTGGCCAGGAGATCATGGACAAACACTTCCTAAAGGTGGGATGGGGATGGCACTCAAGCCCCAGAGCTGAGGCTGAGGCTCTGGGGACAGGCTGAGCCTGCGGCTGAGGCTCTGGGGATAAGTGCCCCACCCCAGGTCAACCAAGGTGCTGTAGACCCTCTCAGCAAAGTAGTCCACTCCAGAGCCCACATCGAGGAGGAGAAAGTGCAATAAGGAATCATTAGGATTTGGTGTTGTAAAACTGTGTGCAGACAAGGGTTCCCCAGGTGTGTGCTGAGGGCTTGGCGAGGTGCCACTGATCCATCCTGAAACAAGTGCCAGTTGCCACGGTTTTTGTTTACCAAGCCTAGACCTATACTTAAAATTTCTGTACTCTACAAACTGGTCCTTCCTCTCCAATATGTGCATGTTGTTGTCTTCTTAGAGTAGTCGAGGTAGGTATATTAACTGATTCACCTTCTCCTCCTCTCCCTTTATGACTAAAAACACTGTAAACTGAATTTAACTACCTTTTATTTGTGTTGTAATTATCGTCACAGTCTTGAATTTATTTACAGATATCTGCAACCTTCCCAAAGCAAAAGTTTATACAAGGTTTTAGAAGCCCTAGGATACCTCCCAGACCTTGCTGAGCACAATGCTGTATGCCATTGCTGGGGTTTGCAAATCCAAATACAAGTTAAGTTACACACACATATTAAGAGTCTCAGTCAAAGTGTTTCATGTGGTGGATTCAGAGTTGACTAATTCACTGTCTTAATTCAGTGTAACCTTTTCTTTTAAAATATTGTGCACAAAGGGTGAGGAGGGATTTGGAGTTCAAATTATGTCGGGCTGCAATTATCCGTACCATTGCTGGAAGGATCTTGGTCCCATGTGTCCTTATCTGAATACTTCCAATCACTAAGACCAGGAGGGGGGAAATTCCCTTTGCCTCTAATATCTTGCTGAGAATGCCTACAGATGTTTCTGGAAGTTTTAGACACTATTCCACTCTCCCGTATCTGGCAGTCTGACCATTCACCATGGCTGGAATGCTTCTGTATTTTTCCTTCTTGCCCCTCAGAGTGAAGAGTATAGACTCTGTAGATTCTCTGATAATTTCTGTTTTGAATGTGTTAACATTTGTTATTCCCCGTAGTCATCTCAACTTGTTTCTTAGTTTGTTTCTGGTACTGGAGACTGAACCCAGTGTGTGTGCTAAGTACATACTCCACCCCAACCAGATCTGAGTCGGTTAGTGTTTTTATGTTGAGTTACTGTGGTTTTGCCCTTTGAGGTTTTCAACCTGGATTGTGTATGTGTGACTGTTCGTGTGTGTATATCTGGAATCTCTAGATAACCTATAAATGCCTTAATATGTGACATAAGAAAAGGGCAATTGAAATTCTGATTTCATTTATTTTCAAAGAAAACTTATCTCCCTTACCACTACCAATTGAGACTGTTTTGTTTCTAAAACAGGTGTCAATTGTGACCCTATCTCAACTGCTTCCCATATTGAGGGAAAAAATAATTCCTGTTTCACTTTCACACTACTTAAAAGCTTACATCATCCCAAAGAGAATGATGATGAGTCAATTTGAGGTCGCCTGATAAAACACTTCACCATGCTTCCTCCCTGTGTGTCCCAGACACTATGGGACATGCTGCTCCCACTGTGCGAGGGGGGAGGCACATCCACTCTACTGATTGGGTCCACAGGGCCAAAGGCAATGTGTATCACTGAGCCTGCTTTGTCTTCTTTTCTTGCAAGAGGCAATGTCAACTGGAGAGGCGTTTGCCCCAGCGGAAGAAAAAGTCCTGTGCAGAGTGCATTTCAACCACAAGCTAAATAGATTAAAAACAGAAGTAGAGAATGGTGACTAGGCTTAAGAAACCTTTGTGTGTTTCAGAACGGTGAATGATGAGATAAAAATCAATTCCACCCCAAGCTCATTCTAATGTATTATTTTAAACAAGAGGAAAAGTCATCAGTGCTTCCTGTTAAAGGACTCCATCTGTTGCTGTGCCAGCAAGGAGTGGCCTCTGTGAGTTCCACTCTGCACTCTGTGGCAGCAGCCTAAAGTTTGGGTTCAGCTTTATTTCTGCTTATTTGCCTTCCTAACACTGGCCTTACAGGTATACTTTTACCATATTTCAGGCAGAGTGCACCAGGCTATAAATATTATCCCTCATGGTCTATTTGCAACATGTTTTTAAAATGTTCCCTAAGGAGTTAGCTGTGACTTTGACAATTGTAGGCTTCAGAACTTGAATGTGAAAAGTCCCTAGTAAAGTTGTAACTGGACATTTGAATTCATGGCAGGTAGCTATGAAATCTACGGTAAGAGGATAATTACAGGGGAAAAAATTAGATGGAAAACCTTTTGGGAGGCTTGCCAGCCAAGTCCTATGCTGGGCATCCTATTCATACCATCAACTCCTCAGCCACTCCCATAGCTCTCAGTGTAGTCAGACTCAAGAGGCACAGGAACCACCCAGATTGTAACCGCCTGCTCTGAGAATGGCAGAGGAGAGACGCCCAGCCTGACTTGAACATCCTCTGTGCTTCCTGTGTGGTTTTGCTTTTTGGGAGACAGTGCTCTTCACCAGAACCCAGCAGTAAAGAAAGGAGAAATTCTGAGTCCTGCAGACAGGCTTTCAAATGCCCTTTGCAGTGTTCACAAACTGCTTAAACCACGCACTGCTATGTAAGAATGTGACCTGAACTATAAGCTAAACATGGGCTCCTTTATACAGCATTCAGTAGCACTGAACCTATATCCGAGGTGGTTAAAATAAATGAGATACAATCCTTAGTTGTAAAAGAACAAAAAAGTTGGAATACAGACAGATTTAAAGGGTGGGGCAAGCCATTTACTTTCATCAGATTATCTGATAAACCAAGTAATATATTCACCTTGTCAAATTGTCCCATTTTTTTAAAGAAAACTGAATGTATTCAAATATTGCCTTCAACAAAATAATAAAAAATAATAAAATAATAAACAGTAATCATAAAAGGATACCTATGGTGCTTCAGACAGAAGAGAATTTACACCAGGCAGCTAAATAAATTCCTAAAATTCCATTTCAGAGTTTCACCCTTCAGTCACCAACTCCAAAGTGTACACTGTGTGGCAGGCAGAGAGTGAAGCACCCCATACACACCCCCCGGGTTAGGGGTTAATGCAGAAGAATTAGTCCCCTGAGAGAGCCTTTTGTTCCAGTGATGGGGTTTTCCAAAGGAATTTGTTGGAATAACTTCAGACTGAGGGGGAGGGGGAAGAAAAGGAGGAGGCAGAGGGAGGAGAGAGGGAGAGAGGGAGAGAGAGAGAGAGAGAGAAGTGGTACAAGCAGACTAAGACTTCAATTCACCAGGCTGGGGGAAGGGCAACAGTTTAAGCAGTGGGGTGCTTACTTTCCAGGCCTGCAGACAGGCACAGCCTACTAAGTGCCCTTATTCTTTATTAATTATCTTTATACTCCCCTCAGATGATTGACTTTGGGTAACAAAATTCAAATATATTACTTCATTCTGATGATTCCCTCCTCCCAGAATCCAAAGTCTTTGACTTTGGCTTTCATTTTCCTCTTCCTTTAGCTTTGATTAGAGGTGATTTTTTAGCATTTCTAGATCTTTTTCTAGGAACTTAAGATCAGCCAGCCCCTCCCTCCTGCTGCCATATGTGAATGCATACATGTCATAGCAGTTGGCATAGTGTGATGTCAATCCAGATTGTAACAGCAGGACCTCTGGACTCTGCTAAGGTCTTTTTGCATGGACTAATAGATGGATCTCCTTTTAGGATCCCATAGGCTGCTTCATGTGGAGCAAATGCCCCTCCATACACCACAGTGGCGTCCCTGCAGTGCTGTGTGATCCTTGCCCACAGCAGAGCATCAAGAAAAACTGTCAGTGGCCCTGAGGCTGTTCAGACCCACAGTGGCCACAGACAAATGTGGAGTGATTTGTGTATTTTGAACTTCCAGTGCAGGGATACTTAACAAAATTAGAAGCCATGTGAAACAGGTCATGTTGTGTGTCTTTTATGTGTGAGTTCTGAGACCAGATGGAGAAAAGGTAATATCTCTAGTGGCAGCATCCCATCTTGCAGTGGGTTGACTTTTAAAGACCTCGGTAAGAGTTAGTTTGAATTTATAAAGTGAGTTTTTCTTTCATTTGCTCTCAGCTACATCGACTTTCAAGTACGATAGTACACATCACAGTTTTCATTTTATGTCTTATCTGTTCCTCCATAAAATGCAAGAGATCAAGCTGTAAACTGTTGATTCACTCCCAACATTTGTCATTAAAATCAACCACAGGTTATGCAAGCACAGGTTGCTCACGACAACAACCCACATCGACAGACCCTCCAGAAACTGGCCAAAAGGATGGGCTTAAGAAGATATGTCATGCCCCTCTCTGTCTTCTCTACCCTGGGAGCAGCTCTCCTGCCTTGGCCCCTCACCCCTGAAAATGTATGCCTGCTCCAAGTTCATCTCCACCCGCTCCTTGATCAGGAGCACCTCTCAGCTGCTGAGTCGTCCCCTGTCTGCAGTGGAGTTGAACCGACCACAGACTTGGACAGATGAGGGCTTCAGCAGCTTGGCAGCCCCTCGTCCTCTGACCTCACTCATCCCTAGCCGCAGCTTCCAAACCAGCGTCATTTCCAGGGACATTGACACAGCCGCCAAGTTCATTGGGGCTGGGGCTGCTACAGTTGGGGTGGCTGGCTCTGGGGCTGGCATTGGAACTGTTTTTGGGAGCCTCATCATTGGTTATGCCAGGAACCCTTCTCTGAAGCAGCAGCTCTTCTCCTACGCGATTCTGGGCTTTGCCCTCTCAGAAGCCATGGGGCTCTTCTGCCTGATGGTGGCCTTTCTCATTCTCTTCGCCATGTGAAGCAGCTGTCTCCACTTCCCACCTCCCATAGTTCTTTCGTGTCCGGTCTGCCCTGTATGTTCCTTTTCCTGTACCTCCCCAGGAAGTCTGGGGAAAGTGTTTGGCTCAGGGTTTGACAGAGAGAAGACAAATAAATACTGTATTAATAAGAAAAAAAAAAAAGAAGATATGTCATACAGGTGAGCATCATGTATCAGGAGATGCAAATCAGTCTGCCTCCCCGACTCTGGGTGTGTGTACTATTCTTTTGTGACAAAACCTCAGATGCCTTGGCCTACTTTAGCTATCTTCCACTCCAAGCCTGCTTTCTAAAAACTTGTGTGATAAAGCTTTTCCTGGGAAGATGCAACACATATGTCCACTCTCTATGCACAAAAGTATAGAAACCACCCAAGTTAGACTTGGTGAACCAGTGAGCTTTATTGACACTTACCAGGAATGTGGGTGAGGAGTCAATCACAGGAGCAAAAAATGACTCAAATACAGCTGCATCACCAAAGGCCACCTCAGCATGGGTGACAGACAGCTCACAAATGCTGGGAACCTGGACACACATCAGAGCCTGTAAACAGCACAACAGGGTTGGAAAGTGTCCTTTCCAGGGGCCTAGATTGGTCTAAACCTCTCCCAGCAGTTCAGCTTGCTTGTTCCTGCTTCTTCCAGGAAGAGAGACTGGTCTGGTGTTACGCTCAGCTTCTATTGTTTACTCTGACAGGGAGAGTCCTAGTGAATCCAGTTAGTTTCAGGGACTTCCTAAATAGATTTTGAGTTGTTTACCTTCCTCCTGAAAAAGCTTCCTGCAGGATGGAATGTTTTTATCTCAGAGGAAACTGTTATAAGACTGACTGACATTGGCTTCCCTGGAATAGCCTACCATTTGTCAGTGATTCTGATTGTCTTTGCTCAACAGAGCTCTGAAATCCATGTGCTGAGAAATACTACAGTTCCAAGCCAAATCTGGTTCTGAGCTCTCCTCTCCACTCTCTGCCCCTCCCCCTCCCTGCCCTGCCCCAACCTCTTTCTGCCCAACCACCATAGGATGACAGTGGCCTTTACTAAAGACCCATGGAAAAGGACCAAAGCTAGAGAAGAATGATGTGCAGCCAAACACTATGTACTGCCTGCATTACAATCTGTTCCACTAATTGGGCAAAGGTCCAGAGATTTAAATAAGAGACAAGACAGCAGGTCATTTGTGCAAAAGGAATGCCACAATGCCATTTATTGAGGGGAAGGAGCCGGCTTATATACTGACTCACAGCACCGTGGAAGACTACCCAGGGTCAAGAGTGCAAGATTTCAGGCTTAGTTCTTCCCCAGAAGATGTGTGGTAGCAAAACAGGAAGAGGACCAATAACAACTCTGGGGCAAGATGTTCCACCCACAGCTTCAAGCTTGCTCAAGGTGCCTTGGGAGTCCATACAGGGCCCTACAGTACTGTACTGTAGAATTCATGGGTGGCAATTCAGTGAAAATGTTGGGATTTGCAGAAGGAAGCCATAATAGATGATTTGGGGAAGAAAGGACAAGGTGACAAAACATGGGAAGAAGTGGAGCCCGGAGTTTTGGTTCTGGTACCAGGCAACTTTTGAGGGAGGTTTTTGTTTTTGTGTTTGTTCTTATTTTTAAGGGACATGACTGCAGTGTGGCCTATAACTAAATTCCAGAAACATTTTTACTAATTGCATATTGAGGACAGATACTGCCTGCTGGCAAGTGAAGAAAGCAGCCTAGAGACTGCAGCAGAGAAGCAGCAGAAAGGTCATTGCTGAATTAGAAGCCGGGGTTCTCCTGGGAAGGGCGCCTGTGTTAGGAACCCAGGCGTCAAAAGAAAGCCCACTGGCTATTGGGAGACAGACACTGTCACCTTTACTTGTGTTAGCCATGCAGTGTTGGTGATGATTGGTTGTGTGAACAGCACCTGAAAAGAGGAGCAGGGGTCAAGCCACAGAGCTAGTGCCTTGAAAACAGGTCCATATTCTACAAGCCTTGAATGAGTATAAGGACCAAAGGAGGGGCCTGAGGGAGAGAGCAGTGTCAACAAGGCTGTCTGGATGGAAGGAACAAGTCAGCACCCTGGATGGAGGAAGAAGACTGGTGAAACAGCAGAGGGCCTGAAGATGGATAACACCAAAGAGATGACCACCTGAGCCGAGTTGGTATGGAGTGGCCAGGGACGTGAAACATCATTTAAAAGAGTTAAGTTTTTATAAAAACCAATGACATTTTTTTAAACTTATTTTATATAACAAAGTCCATTTAAATGAAAACAAATATTTATAGACAATATTTGTGAATTTGGATGTCGTTCTTTCCAAACTACTTCCTGCTAATAGGGGATACGAAGAAGATTCAGAAATCCTGGCTGTAGTCTATAAGGCTGCTTTGTCCAGCTGTTTTGAATGTAGGATCACCTTGTACTCTGTTTCAGGCGGTCTGGCTTGATCAAACCACATTAGTCTGGAAGGAATCCACATCTTTTCATTTTCTGTGGAAACAAAAATAGAAATCCTTTTCCCCAGGAACTTGTCCTTGAAATTAAATTTTTGAGTCAAAGCATTTTTTTTAATTTATTATTTTATATGTCGATCCCAGGTCCCTCTCCCTCTCTACCTCCCTCCCTCCTTTACTCTCTCCCTCCTTCCCTCCCTTTTACCCTCTCTGCCCTCTCACATGCACTCTAACCACCCTCCCCTCCCATCCCCCACCCCAATTCCATATGTAGGGGAATGCCATCCAGTTGGGGTCATGTAGATCTGACAGGTCATGTGAAGTAGGGACTAGGGCTTCTCTCCTGTCTCTAGATTAAGGCAGTTATCCCTCCATGGAAGATGTGTTTGCAAAGTCCTTTTGTGCTCCAGGAATACATCCTGGCTCCACTGTCTGAGATCCCTTAGACTTCTCAGTCCTTCTGGCTGAGACCCATATTCAGGGGGCTTGAGGCAGTCAAATGCTGGCTTCCTAGCTATCAGCCTGGTGGCCCGTTAGCTCCTCCTTGATCAGGTAAGCTGTCTCTATGTGTTTATGCTGCCTGGTCTTGTCCTCTCCCTCTGCATCTGAGTTCTACTTCGACTCAGTGTTTATGTATGGGTGTTTGCTTCTGTTTCCAACAGGCATTAGTTGAGGGCTCCATAGAGAAATTAGTTGTTGATCTCACTCTCCGGGAAGGGCATTTATGGTAGCCTTTCCACAGAAACTCAAATTGTTAGTTAGCAGCAGTCTTGTAGTTCTGTATACCTTTCTTTGTGGTCAATTTTATCTTCAAACCAATATTGGCTCCCTATTTTATGTTCTCTCTCTCTCTCTCTGTCCTGTCTTCTGTTCCTAACCAGGCTCAATCTTCCTGGTCACACATGTTTTCCTTTCCTCCCCCTCGTTTTCACCTACTTAAGTCTCCATTCGCTGTCCCCCCCCACTTCCAGTGAGCTCTGGGGGACTTGTCCATTACCAGTTCTGTGAGGGACTTTATATGAATCTCTTAGAATACACCTTGTATACTAGTTCCTCTGGTGGTATGAATTATAGGCTGGTGATCCTTTGATCTAGGTCTAAAATCCATATATGAGTGAGTACATACTGTGTTCCTCTTTTTGTGACTGGGTTACCTCATTCAGGATGGTTTCTTCAAGTGCCATCCACTTGCCTGCGAATTTCAAGATACCATTATTTTTTTCTGCAGAGTAGTATTCCATTGTGTAGATGTGCCACATCTTCATTAACCATTCTTCAATTGAGGGGCATATAGGTTGCTTCCAGGTTCTTGCTATTACAAATAGTGCTGCTATGAACATAGTTGAACAGATGTCTTTGTTGCATGGATGTGAATCCTTTGGGTATATGCCTAAGAGGGGGATTGCCGGGTCCTGTGGTAAACTAATTCCCATTTTCCTGAGGAACCGCCATACTGATCTCCAAAATGGCTGTATGAGTTTGCACTTCCACCAGCAGTGGAGGAGTGTTCCCCTTTCTCCACATCCTGTCCAACATGAGTCATCATTGGTGTTTCTAATTTTAGCCATTCTTGCAGGAGTAAGATGGTATCTCAAAGTTGTTTTGATTTGCATTTCCCTGATAGCTAAGGATGTGGAGCATTTTCTTAAGTGTCTTTCAGCCTTTTTGATATCCTCTATTGCCCCGACCAGCGGGGCCTAGTTATTTGTGGGTCAAGGTGGGCTAGAACGTGAAAATAATGGGAGAGAAAGAAGGAACGAGACCAAGCATTCTTTGTCAAGGTCTAACTTTATTAGGCACAAAGAGGGGTTTTTTAAAGCAAAGCAGGGAGAAAATGGGGAGGGGTAACTGTGCTGACTCTGGGGCTCTGGTATTTTCCCAGGCCAAAAATATCAGACCCTAGATGTCTGCCTATCTCAGTTCCTGGCTTCTTACTTCATCTCAGTTCTGGGTTGAATGGAACAGACTGCTTTTTCAGCAGTTTTCTGTTCTACCAAGATAAGGCTCAATTAGAGTTTTAAGGTATAAGTTATTTTGCAAATGGATGTGACTCAAGGCGGGCTCCCAACACTCTATTGACAATTCTTTCTTCAGTTCTGTACATCATTTTTTAATAGGGTTATTTGGTATTTTGTTGACTAGTTTCTGGAGTTCTTTGTATATTTTGGAGATCAGCCCTTTGTCGGATATAGGATTGGTGAAAATCTTTTCCCAGTCTGTGGGCTGCCGTTTCGTCTTGTCCACTGTGTCATTTGCCTTACAGAAGCTACTAAGTTTGAAGAGGTCCCATTTATTAATTGTTTCTCTTAGTGTCTGTGCCCCTGGAGTTATGTTCAGGAAGCAGTCTCCTATACCAATTTGTTCATGGCAACAGACATGGGTCTATCTGCAGTCTTCTACATACCCTCATCCAATTGTGCCAGCACCATTTGTTGAAGATGCTGTCTTCACCCCATTGTATAATTTTAGCTGTTTTGTCGAAAATCAGGTGTTCATAGGTGAGTGGGTTAATATCAGGATTTTCAATTTGATTCCATTGGTCTACCTGTCTATTTTTATGCCAATA